GGCAAACTAGGAATGCTTGTTTTGAATAGTGCGCCAGGAAATAAGTAATTTTCGCCCTATGTCTGTCATGGATTATTCACCGTTTATGAAAAAATTGTCCATCTTTTGATGTGTCACTCTTAAATACGTCTTTCGATAGTAGCATCATTCTATGATTAGCAAGTTAATTGTTGTTTATTCACTCCAGACAGGTTGAAAACTAACGAACACGCAATAATTCTCACTCAGTTCAATAATAAAGTTAGTGATGCAATCGATATATTCGCTGTCAACAGGTTTCGACCTTGTTTGATATATGTTCACTATCTAACGGATGGTACAGAGCGTGGAGCGTTAGTGCGGCTTTGGATTATGATTATTTGCAACAAAGATTCAGTGGGCATTTCATGTAGCGGGTTATCGCAACCGTACCACCACTTTTTAGGAACTGCGAATGTAGGAAGCAACTTCCTACAGGTGTAACTCTAAACTATTCTCTAGACTGTCGAGCCCAGAGCCTTGGTTTAGCCAAAGTTAGGACAAGTAATCTATTTGGCTTGATAATCTTTATCTGTTTCTAAAACATAAATCAACACCGTTAGTATACAAAATAAACAGTACAGTCTATTAAAATTGATTGATCACTGGATGCTGATCAATGTCATGTGTGTGAAGTCCTTATTGGTGCAGATCGCATGCGATCGACTATGTTACCATGTGGCCATCAGTCTAGGTGATTCAACACTGCGTGCACTATCGTGAGATTAGATGGTGGTTGGAGGTAGTCGACAGAAAACCGTCGGGGAGCACCAGTTCCCCCAAGATTACAGGCACACCTTGCCGACGAGTGCCAAGTAGCATCAAACCTGGGTTCAGGGTTTCCTGTCGACTACCTCCAACCACCACCTAATCTCACAATAGTGCACGCAGTGTTGAATCACCTAGACGGGTAGCCACATTGTAACAAAGTCGATCGCATGCGATCTGCACTAATAAGGACTTCACACACATGACATTGATCACCATCCAATGATCAACCAATTGTGATTACATCTAAGTCCTACAGAAGGTCGGTTGGGGCCCGGATAGCTCAGTGGTAACGTCTCTGACTGTGAAGCCAGGTGACACGAGATCGAATCCGTCAGAGGAAATCAGTTCCATCAAGATTACAGGCACACCTTGCTGTCAAGTGTCAAGTAGCACGAAACCTGGGTCCAGGGTTTCCTGTTGGCTACCTACGACCATCATCTAAGTACAGTCTTTTAAACAGGGAAAAGGAAAGACATAAATAACTTACCGAACAGTAAATGGAGGATTTGAAAAATGTGTCAACATGGCGAATGTTGTTTTATAATGAACATAACATTGTGATTGGTGAGTAAACATGACATAGTCATACAAAGTCAAAGAAAGTTAATGTGTTGGCGAGTGCATCACTTTAGCATTAGTGGGCTTGTTTACCGATCACACTTTATACTCCCCCCGAAACGCACACCACATACATTGTCCTGGGTGGTCGTCGCCGTCAAATAAACGGCTTCCAGTACGTTAGATTTCGCACATCCCGAAAGATTTCCTCGTTTGCCGTTCTCCACTTTGCTGTACGAATTCTCCAGTCAGGACCATAGTTTATCTGTTTGACAGTGGCTTTAGACCATAGACTTCTACTCATTTCAGTCAAGAACGTTTGCAGAGCTTCATCGGTCAGTGCGTTTTGAAATAGTAGTGCTCTTGGAGTCTTTCTAATTGATTTTATGACGCGTCCTTATACAATGCTTCGATGACTGGCTCTCGAAAGATTAAAGCGCCATTCACAACCCCTTTCTAAAAGAGCATTTGATATCTTATTCTGCTTCCAACTACACATAATCTGTCCAAGACTAGCATTGGCTTCTTTTAAGCTACCAGATGCACCCTTACGTTTATTCACAACTCGTACAAAGGCGCCTTTCTCAACACCATGTACGACTCCACGGAGAGTATGTGCTTCATGTTTCTTCAGGGTTTTCGTTACTGGCTTCTTTGTTACAGTGGCCTTTGACTTTTTCGGTGCCTTGACTTTCGGCTTGGTGACCTTTTCTATTCTTTTCTGGTCTTCCTGCTGTCTAGAAGCAGTGTTAATGGCGAACTGTTTGGAATTCTTTTTCCGATCAAGGATTCGACACCTCGGAGTAGCTTAATTATGTCACTCTTCGATTTATCGATATCCTCAACACTTAGTGCGCCTAAGGTTAGACACTTTCAATTCCTTTTGTTTAACGTATTATCGATAAACCGTCTGCAGTATGAAAACACCCTTAATAGTTTGGCCGATGACTTACACGTATGAAATCGATCTAGAAACTCATCATTGCATTTTGAGGACCCGAAATCTTCTGTTACTAAATGAGCCACAGTTTTCTCACTCTTTTCTAGGTTAGGCCATTTATCTTCTTCCTCCCAATCTGAGAGATAATTAAGTACACGTTTGTTTTCATGAGACTCCTTGTAAGGCCCGAACAACGTCCAACTTAATGGAGTCTTCATGGCAGATGGTTCATTCGTCTTTCCGATTCTTACGCCTCTCATCTTGTGTATGCCAGGTGCGTTACACCCAATCAGCAGTTCAACATTCTCATCCTCTACTCTCGAAAAACTTATGTCTTTTAAGTGGGACTAGGATGCCATTTGATGCACCGTTGGTACAGTCCGGTAAACCACCGGTAGTTTTTTGAATGTTACCACTTTCTGAACCTTAAGGTGCGACGCAAAATCTACCGAGTGCAACTTTACATCGATCTCTTTGGATACCAACGGCGATTCATTACTAAGAGTCCCTAAAGATACCAATTTCCGTTTTCCCTCGATGCCTAACTCATCAGCCAGACCATCAACAATGACAGAGGTATCTGATCCACTGTCTAAAAGGCGCAAGTTTGAATAATCTTCTCATCACTTTTCGTACATACAGGCACTGAAGTAAATGCTACTGGTCTCTGTATACTCCTACCACTCCCATCCTTGTAGATCTGGGTACTATTGTAGACATCACTACTGCCATCTCTTTGTTCTTCCTGATTTCTGTGTAACAGAGTATGGTGTCTCCAAGCACACCCTTCAGCAGCACATGACCTCAGCGATCGACGGTTTTTTGCTTCATAGCTTGTTTTCAGACAAGCAATACATAACTTGTGTCTGAGAACGAATTCTTTCCCTTCTCTAACATTCTTGTTTTTAAACTTCTGACACTGATCTAAAGGTTGATTACCTGAGAACTCCAAACAGGATGAACTACGTAAGGGGATATTGTCATCATTAGTATTCGCATAAGATATCCTTACTGCATTGTAATCTGCATTAATTTTCCCTTTTAAAATACCAACACCCTTACTGTCACTATTACTACCGCAGTTTTCAGGTAGACCATATCTAGTATTAGCTATATCAGCTTGTTCCTTTACAAACTCAGTAAGATCGGCAAACAGAGGCTTTCAACCTCTTATGATAATCTTATAAGCTACCTTTAGCCACTCTTGTTGAATGTGCGTTAGTAATTTCAGAACCATAATTTCAATAGTTCTGGAAGAGTTCAAATCATAAGGGTAATTCATCTGTTTGGGAGTCAGACCGCATATTTGCATTTCTCGAGACAGTCTTCTGAAACCATCTGGTTGAGTCCTTTTTATATTGGGAAAGTTAAACAAGCTGTCGATAAACGTGAGCGCTATGACGTGTTTTTGGCCAAACGTTTCCTCTAGAAGCTTAAGAGCTCAACGATAACCTACCTCTGGTTCTAGTATAGTACAATGAAGGATAGCGGCTCTCGCTTCTCCGTCACAATACTGAATTAAGTAATTTAGCTTAGATCTAAATCCAATATTTTCACTCTCGATGCATTCTTCGAAATTGCTAATAAAAATCCAGTAATTTGTCGGTGTACCATCAAACCTTAAGATTTCTCTTTTTGGTAAATACAGATTTTTTAATATTTCATTCTCAATGCTGTTTACTGATTGGCCGAAACCTTCACATCTCTGGCTGTGTAACCTTTCTAGTTAAATTTCTTTTTCTAACTGGGTTGCACTTAACCCAGCTAACTATCCTATGTGCGCTGAAATGTTTACTGTCAGAACAAACTTATAACGTGCAATCACCCTGCTAAAACTCCTCACCAAGTTTCATCATAACATACAGTTTACTTTGAATAGCGTGTGGATATATTGAAATCGTCGTATGATATGGAGTACACGGTACTACTCAACCGTCGGTTATAAAATAATAGGCATATATACCATCGGAAAACGGGAAGAATTGGTGAACGTTGAAGTCTGTAAGCATTAACTTTGACCCGGAAAGTCGTAGATGAATTTGAAAAGAGTTATGTGCAAATCGAATGTCTCTGGTTGATATAAAGCAAAACTTTACCCATTTCAACGTCAAACGTGATTATGTTGCAAGGAAAATTAGTGAAGAGCGTTACACTTTATCCGGCAGAAATTAACATGCTGTTAAACTATCACTGCTACTGCTGGACGTCATTAGGTTATTTTGCTGGAAATGAATTTAGCAGCTCTGAAGCTTCATGGATTACTTCAGTTACAGACCTAGATGGGTCACCCATTTGCGTTTGGGTAACATCTTGGGTGGATTGTTATGAAAGCTGCGTAGCATGGTTTTTTCTGAGTCACAAAGCTGTCCGGGTTTTGGAGTAGTCCGAATCTTATTTACTACTTGTTAAGGATCGGGAATTTCATTTATGCTAATGATACCTAATGATTACAACTACTTGCTAGGAAAGTGTTGTAGTAAACTCTTCACGTAAGCCAGTTATAAGTTTCACGTATTTAATCCCTCAGTTAATTAAAAAATTATTTGTAGCATATAACTCACCTGAACTTTTTACACTGCCGAGAAATCCTGTTGTGATATTGGTCCATATGAAAGCGAATTTTGTTGTGTGATGACCTAAGGAATTTAGTGTTTTTCTCTTCTCGATTCTGAAACATTGCCCTACTAATAAGGCGCGTATATTAATCTCGTAAATGGTCGTTACACGTAAGCATTTTCATATACTCTCTTATGTATTTATAGGTTTTAAAGATTTTCCCCATGTACGTCCTTTGATAACTACAGCAGTCGTTTTATGGATTTGCGTAATTATCTATTTGAGTTCCAGTTTCTTCAATTTGGAAAGTAGTGATCAGCAAAATTTAGCTTGTCAAAATTTACTGGATGTAATTACTGGTTTAAAATCGCAAGTCGATATCGGGTCGGCAAATTTAAGAATATTTCTTACGTCGTACAATGCTAAGTTAGTTATAGTTTTTAAAATTAACTAATCTTTCACTAAAACTATTCCTTTTCAGGCGCTTGAATTGATCCACCTAATTATATATTTTGCATCTACTTATAATGTACAGAAGAAAACAGTAGTAAGATCGAGATAAGGAGAGGCAAGTGACGTGCCGCGCTGATGTCATCTGGTGTGGAATTTAACTCTAATCCATAGATGGTGAGCAAATTCTGAGGACTTCACTAAATCCTGGTGAACATTGGCACTAGGTCTAGAAACAACATAGGCAATTCCTGATTGGATTCCTGTCGATAGTTGCTTATATCCTGTCTGTCTTGATGGGGTAGTAAAAAGTTGGAGACATAATAGCACACGCTGTTGCGTTTTCATCGTTTCTGCCTACACTCCAAGCAACTGCAGCTTGGTCCCAGTAAAAGATGCGCTTGCTAAGCGCTTGGACGTCATAGTTGTAGTAGACCCAGATCGGCAAACTAAGGCCAACTTGGAAGCAGATGTGTCTTTTATGGTCTCAGCCTAACGATAACCGGCTGTCGTATTTATAATAAGGATTCTTAACGGATACAAACTTCAAGCATAAAGAAATATTGTCTAACCTGGAAACCTCCACTACTAGAAGGTCTCGATTAAAGGCTTTCACTTTAGTAGTGCAGGCTTGGACTTCTGTCATCACCCTAGTGAGAGCACGCATTCCTATGAGTCTTTACATGTAGGACAGTCACATCCGAAAGAGGCCTTATGGATCATTTCGAAGATTAAAACGTTGAGGGTACGTTTAGGGAAGGACTAGCTAAGCAATTAGTTGATTGAATTGAGGCAGTGTATATTAAAGAGGATTCGAATCATGTCCAAACGTCTATGAATACTTCAGTAGCATCTACCAGCAACCTAAATCAAGGTTTAGGAAAAATCAGTGGGTTTTGATGGTATCTCTTAAACTGACATGTTCTAAAACTCATCCTGTTAAACTTGAAGAATGGTAATGAAGCTAGATAACGAGAAGTTTACCCAATGATCATAAGTAGTGGTAGACAACGAAAGCCAAAGGGATGGAAAAGAGGCACAGTAGGTAACACTAAATAAATGTTGCGGCTCATTAATGAGACGAATATATGAAAGTCCTTAGTGAGATCCCAAGAAAAGCAGTAGTTATTCACTCCCAGTCCATAAGGTTAGACCGTTTGGTAGAACACTTTAGATAATACTTCAGATGAACTGCAGTTGCGCATTATTTTCAAACGACGTGCATGAAAAACTGACTTACGTTTCTCAACACTTGAGATTAGAAAGCCTACAGGGAATCTAAAACAAGGGTAAGCAGTAGGTTTTAATAGGCTAACGCTGGAGATCTTCAAGGATAGTGGTCCAGTCGCAGTTATCAGACCCACAAACACTAGCTAGAGATTGAGAGCTCGACGTATTCCCATCCGTCCGGTTTTGACCAGTGATCGTTATGGTTAGGGAGTCAGTCAGTCAGTAACAACGTAGAACTTCGTACGTATGTACATCAGTTCGAGTTGCCACACCACATTAGCACAGAGATGCAGTTGTCGATTCAAATCCCGTAGTGGTAGAGGTAATAAGAGTATAAGCAGTAATCGGGAAGATTAGGGTTTGGAGATGTTATTTAAAGAGTATAATCCAGTGAAATAAATTTGGAAAGAGGAAAAAAGGGACATGAAGAATTCAGAAGATTAGAATTTGGGAGAACACAGAGAGTGAATGCACCTGCGCCATTGCAAACGATTTTGAGCCATGTCATTCAGGGTCTCTAACCATCGGTTGCTATCATCTCGCGGTCCCCAACCAGGTAGTCTACACCTACCAACATGACTCAGTTCACTTGTCAGTGACTTCATGGACTTGTGCCATGTTTTGGTTTGGCCGCCCCTAGCTTTCTTCCAACCTACTCCTATACCACTAAACATAGCACGTCGAGGCAGTCGGTCGTTGGTCATACGTAACACGTGTCCCAGCCATCTCAACTGATGAAGTTTCACTACTTCATCAATTGATTTGCCATCCTTAATTAGTACCCGTTTCCTAACAACTGTGTTACTTACTCGATGGTCCCATGATATTCGAGCAATGTTTCGAAGACACCTATGATCAAATAGTAGTAGCCTACGAATATCCTCTACTCTTACCGGCCATGTTTCACTGCCATAAAGTGGGACGGAACGAACTGCTGCGCAGTAAACACGTCCTTTGGTTGATAGACGGATATCTCGCCTACGCCATAAATGACGCAAGTTGGCAAAAGCTAGTCGAGCCTTCTGTATCCGTGGTGAGATTTCGTCACACACCAAACCACAAGGGCTGATGAGACTTCCAAGATAAGTGAAGCGGTCGACACACTCAACTACTTCACTCCCTATCACTAGTTCGGGTGTCGATGTAACCCAATCCTGAAGCAACATTTTGCATTTCGAGGGAGAGAATCGCATCCCGAACATGCTTGCATTGTTGCTTAGAGTGGTCAGAAGACTCTGCATTTTGTCAGCGTCTTCACCAAATAAAACTGTCATCTGCATATTCTAAGTCAAAAAGTGAACCTCCGGTACAAGATCAACCCCTGGAAATTTAGATGAGGAGAGTGTTATCTCTAAAAGTACGTCGACCACAAAGTTGAACAAGAATGGGGAGAGTGGACAGCCCTGACGAACACCACTTGAGGTAATCAATTCTGATGACAGTTCACCATAAGCTCTCACTCTACCAGTTGTGTTCGAGTAGAGAGCCTTTATAAGGTTAATGTACTTCTTTGGTACTCCTTTCAGTGACAAACATTGCCATAGAACCTCACGATCAACAGAGTCGAATGCCGCCTTAAGGTCGAGAAATACTACCATTGTGGGGCGTCTGAACGTGTGTCTGTGTTCTAGAACCTGACGTAGTGTGAATATCTGATCTATACAACCACGTCCAGGTCGAAAACCAGCCTGGTTTTCTCTAATCTGTTCTTCACGAGCTTTGATTAGGCGTCGAAGTATTATTGAAGCTAATATTTTAGACACTATATTGGTCAAACTGATTCCTCTGTGATTGTCACAAGAGGACTTTTGTCCTTTCTTATAGACTGGCACAATCAGTGATTGAGACCAGTCAGATGGGATTACGTCCAGTTCCCAAATTCTACCTAAGACCTCGGTTAATCTCATTGCTAATACTGGACCACCATCCTTAAAAATCTCAGAAGTAAACCTGCCAGGGCCTGCTGCTCTCCCTCGTTTCAGATTTCCTATGGTTTTTTCAACTTCGTAAAGGGACGGAGGACCTAGATTAACTTGCCATTCAGGTTGACTAGAGATCGTGGGAAACCGAAGTGTGGCTGAAGGCCAGTTGAACTGATCCCTAAAGTGTTCTGCCCATCGATCCAATCTCCTGGATTGAGAATGAATAATATGTCCATCTTTCTCTCAGAGTGTTTCGCTAATGGTCGGGTTCCTAATACCGGTTTCCTTAACGAGTCTGAACAATTGTCTGCTATTACCTATTGCCGCTGCCTTTTCCATCTCTCTTGCTTTCGCTACCCACCACTTCGCGATCATTGCGTAGACTTCTTGTCAGCTTGCGCTTAAGCTGACTCCGCTCTTCATTATGTTCAGAGCCGGGTGGAATGAGTTTCCGAGCATCTATCAGTGTGGTAGATGCTGCTTAGATCCAGTGTTGCTCCCTAACCTTCTGGTTTACCTTACTAGCAGATATCACTTCTGTTTCCACAGCTTTTCGGATATCATTCCATGCTGCATCGGGTTGGGCATCACATATATGGCTGCCTAACTGTTTTCCTAGTTGTTCCTGAAATATACTCTTAGCTTGACTATCATTAAGTAGGCCCCTAAGAGGTTTCCTTGCAGTGTCTTTCCTACGTCCAGTAAGACGCAAGCAAATACGCGCTCGCACTAGAGCATGATCTGAATCTAGGCATGTGCTCCAGAATGAGCGACAGTCTTCTATCGAGCCCCTCCATCGGTGGCTGATAGCGATGTGATCTATTTGGGTCCAACGTTGGGACGAATTAGGGGGTCTCCATGTTAAAAGATGTTTTTCCTTATGCTTAAAGTTAGTATTTACAAGGAACAGGCGGTTATCTGAGCATAGCTGCAACAGACGGTCGCCATTATCTGTTCTTTGAGCCACGACACCATAAGATCCACCTAGGTGTCTTTCCCTATCGCTTAGTTTACCTACTTGAGCATTAAAGTCACCGGCCACTATTACTACATCCGAGCGCTTAGCTTTTCGGAGAAGGTCCGAAAGCTTTCTGTAAAACTCATCTTTTACATCATCTGAGCTGCAGTCAGTGGGAGAATAGGCAGAGACGACGAAGAGGCAACGACGAGTGTCCCTATCTTTCCGGATTCTTACTGTTCCGTTTAGTCGGACAGCGCACAAACGACTGTCTACTGGGATTCACTCTAAGAGAGCTAGTTCTGCTCTAGGACTCAATGCTATACCTACGCCAGCGAGGCCTTGGGAAGCAGAATCGGGGCTTCCAGATACACGGAGCGTAAATCGAGTCGGTTCTTTATTTTGGCATGGTGAGGTCAAATAAATGACACTACTTGGATCCTGTATGCGCGTTTCGGAGACGCAGCACACATCGATGGCGCGAGATTCTAAAGTTTTAGCTAAGGAAGCCTGCTGTCCTATTTGGCAAAGTGTTCGTACGTTAAAAGCTTCTACGTATAGTTTAGAGCGTGGTTTCAGGAGACCAGGAATAGCGTTCCACGTACTCGAATCGGTTGCCCTAGCGGTGCGAGGTGATAAAGAGACGTGAGGAGGATTAGTCAGGGAGATAAGAGAGGTATTAGGAGGTGTAGGAAGGATTTGAATGTGACCACCTTGGTCTCTTGTGCTGTTACGGGTATGAGGGCTGATGTCACTTCCCGGCTGCCCACACCATGGAAGGGTATTTCTTGAGGAACCTGAAAAGGAAATTGGATTAGTGTTGGTCTTGACGACCTGGGAGCGTGACCGCAGGGCCCAAGGGACAACTGCTTGAGGCCGGTCGCGCACGGCCTTTTTGTGTAAGGTTTTTGACGTGTTAGCTCCGTTCTTCAAAGGGCCTTACCGTCGGAGACGGAAATCCGTGAGGTAAGGTGAGGTGTGACATTTTTAGGGTCGACCTTTTCTAACTCCACCCCTCCTTGTGGGAAGGCAGCATCGCTGTCATGCTGGTTGTCCGAGGGAAACACCTTACTGCTGTCACACCTCTCTACAGTCAGCAGTACTACTTCGCCCTCAGACCTTGAGTTGCTGCTTTTAGTCTTACCGTTCTCCAATCGACCTGCCTGGCATGGTAGAACCTGCAGGAACATATGTTCCAGCCAATATAGCTCAATTGGGTCATCACGATAGGCAAGCCCGACCACCGCGTCAAGGTAGCAGCTTCGATCGGGTATGGTTAGGGAGAAAAGACAAGTATCATCTTCTACAACCACAGTGGAATCAGTTTGACTGATGTAGTGTCTAAAATACTAGCCTCCATAATCTAACGCTAAACTAAGGTTCATGAAACGAAAACTCTGGAGAAACAGTTGATTTAAACCTGGCTGTGGATGTATGTTTGCTTTTCGTTAAGATTTAGAAAAAAGGAGTACTTTTTGCCCCCGACAACAGTTGTCTTTCTTGACCTTAAGACGGCATTTGACTCTTGACCGAGAGGTTTCGTAACCAAAGAAGTACATTAACTTTGCTCGTGTGTGTTGGTATCACCGAATGAAAAATGTTATAATTAGGCATAGACTACGAGCTAAGGATGCCAAATCAGTTGATGAGGTAATAACTCGTCATCGACTAAGGTGATTGGAACATGTGTTGAGAATGCCTAACTATTACATATTTCGACAGACGATGCTGTGTAGTTTATAATTAAGACAAAAGAAAACCAGGAGTGATTAAACCAAAATATGCAATCAGTCCATGAAGTCATTGACTATTGTACTGAGCCACGTAGGTAAGTACAGATTACCTGGTTTTGGTCCGCGTAGTAACTGCTGCTCCCAGTATTCTCCCACATTTACCTTTCCGCTGACATTTCGAGCCTTGTTTTCAATGTTTGGTATATTTCGTCGTCATTTTTGCCTCATTATTTTGATCTCTCGCTTTTCATCCTATGCTAATGGTATATGACAACTAGACATTACACATCTGTCCGAGGCTCTTTGTTAATGATTGACTGAGAAGTGAACAAGCTATTTACTTTCGCCTGTTACTCCTTGTGGAGCTATCAAGCAACAAATATATTCAGTAATCCCATTTAAAAATTTGTCTTCAAATGCTGCAATATGTTTTCATGTTTTAAAAGATATCAATAATATGAATTATAATAATAGAATATTCCGATTAATTTGATTTTTTCTGCAATAGAAACAAAAAAGAAAATACTATTGTAAAAAGAGGTAAGTTGTGTATGACAACTTCTGGTATTGACTAAATATTTTCCATATAAAACACTATGAGCATTAAATCATTAATTACATGGTCTTGATGGTGTATCATACTTGCTACTGTTTTTAGTTCACCCTTAAACATTTTAATACTAACTGAAAATAATTCCTTATTGGGAATATTCATTTTCTGGGCTATAAGTATTCACTGCATAATGTGTCAATATATTATGATATATTTACCAGTATATTCCGGTTTAATCTTATGTTTATAGGAAACACTGATATATGAGCGATGAATATTAAAAAATTCGGTTAAGCTTGTACAATTATATATTTAAATTAACAATTTGAAAATTAACTACATTTAAGGTAATTACATCGTTTAAAATTATAACATGTGAATCCAAGGCTAATGTTAAAGTTGCACGGAGCGATTCAAAGGACTTTTAGCGTAGGGAAACTACAATTAATGCTTTCTACACGTTCGATGGTCACTCCAAGATTGAAGTATGGATTACATAGACTAATCATCTCTTTATGTGTATGTAAATTCAAGTGTTCTTGTGGAGCAAATTATATTGAGAGGTGTCATCAGAATTTGTACATTAAACGTGGTTAATTTTCGGATTATGAATTTAAATATATAATTGTATAAGCTTAAGAGAATTTATTGAGAATATTCTTCGTTCTTATATCTGTTTTAAATATGGTGGGAATTTTTCAGCGAATAGAATGTAATCAACCCATTGCATTGAAGACACTCAACTAGTTCCTTGAGTGTAGTGTAAAGGTCATAGAGACAAAAATATCGGAATTTGTGGGAAACTTTGTTGAGTTAGGTTAGTATCCTAAACTATTCTTTAAGTCATTACTCCTTAATCAGATTCATCTAGACAGATAAGCATTAAAACGTCATGCATTTTACCAAATCGATACATTCAATACTATATTTATTATTTATTTATTTGAGCACATAAATATTGGTACAAGAGTGCGCCAAATATGTATGTGCCACACAAAAAATTGAGAATTTAAAGAGAAGAAAAAAAGGTAAGGAGCGTAAAAAAAAACAAGGACGAGATTGGTGTAAGGTGGTATAATAATAATAATGGGGGAACGGAAAGGTACAATCAGAAGAAATCTTTCAGTTAAGGAAGATACAACCACTTTTTACGAAAAAAGTAAAAGAAGGTTACAGCAGGATCGCCACTGGCTTCTATTCTGAGCCATATCTAGTAACGTCTCTAGCCACTGTGTAGCTCTATCTCTCGGACCCTAGCCAGGGAGTCGTGAAGGACCAACACAAACCACCCCTTTGCAGCTTTCTTTCATATCACGACACCATGTCATATACTGACCACCTCTCCGCTTTCTCCAACCAGTCCCAGAGCCGGCAAGTAATGCACGACGAGGAATTCTCTAGGAAGACATTCGGAGAACATGTGCAAGCCGCCAAAGTCGATGTTTCAAGATGGTGACACCAATTGAACTATCGTCTCCGCACCCGAACACACGATGTCGAACCTCTGCATTACTAACATGGTGCTGCCACTGGATGTTAGCAATCCTTCGGAGACAACGATAATCAAACACAGAGAGTCGTCTAACATCCTCAACTCAGAGAAGCCAGGTTTCGCAAGCATGGAGCAAAACTGCTCTCACTGACGCGTTGTAGATCCGACCTTTTACAGCCAGACTGACATCAAGAAGGCGCCAAAGGTGGACCAGATTGGCATAAGCCGCTCTGGCTTTCATTATACGTGAATCGATCTCATCACTCACGCCACCACCAGCACTTATGCAGCTACCCAGATACACGAACTTCTCGACTACTTCTATCTGTTCACCATCCAGAGTAAGTACAGGATTAGAATCCTGCCAGTCTTGTAGAAGTACTTTGCACTTCGAAGGTGCAAAGCACATACCAAACCTACGGACACTGATTGCCAACTGACTAAGTGCGGATTGCATGGCTTGGGCATTATTACACAGTAAGACAATATCGTCCGCATACTCAAGGTCGAGAAGTCTTTCTCCAGGCAACAGATCCACACCACTATTACTTACATCCATCAGAGCTGTTTCCAGAATGTCGTCGATGGCAAATTGGAAGAGTAATGGTGAGATTGGGCAACCCTGCCTAACCCCACTGCTCGAATGGAACAATGGAGAGAGGTGGTTGTATGCTCTCACTCTCCCTGAAGTGTTTGTATATAGGGCTTTGAGGATGTTAATATGCTTCTCAGGCACATCCTTCTTTAAAAGATAATCCCAGAGAACAGTCCTTTTCAATGAATCAAAGGCGGCCCTACTGTCACGAAACACTACGATTGTTGGCCTTTGATAAGTATGGCGGTGTTCTAACATTTGGTGGAGGGTGAAGATATGATCAATACATCCTCGACCAGAACGAAACCCAGCCTGCTCCTCGCGAGTCAATCATTCTCAGGCTTTGAACAACCTACGAAGTATGACGGAAGCCAACAGCCTGAACGCAATCGGAAGTAGACTTACCCCCCGATAGTTGTTGCAGGAACGATGTGAACCCTTATTAAAGATAGGGACAACTATCGACTCATTCCATGACGTTGGTACACTCTCTAGCTCCCAGACCTTTTTAAACAACGTCGTCAGTTCCTTAGTCAGAAAGTCACCACAATCTTTAGAAAGGGCAGGAGGTAAGTCATCTGGGCCCAGTGATTTGTAGCGCTTCAAGAGTTGGAGTTCCTTGCGGACTTCCACCTCATTTGGTGGATCAGTAGTCATCGACCATGGAGGGCAGGACAGTCTGACCGATGTTGCCGAAGCAGCAGGCCAGTCGAACTGCCCTTCGAAAAATTCTGCCCATCGTACAGGACGTCGATGGATGTTAGTGATTGGCATCCCTTCATCTTTACAGGTTGTTTGGCTCACACCAAACCTCTTGACGCCGGTGAATCGGATGAGTTGAAAGAACATCCGGCAGTTACCAGATGCAACTGCTGCTTCAAACTCATTGGCACACTCCGACCACCAGGCTTCTTGGTTCTTACGCAAGTTTTGCACAATTTCATTGTGTAACAGTATTCATTTGTGAACAAATTCGTGGTCACCCGGAGTAGACCGACTAGCTTCAACAAGCTGTAAGAAGCCTAAAAAAACCCAGTGCTTATAAGCGGGACGTTTCGCGAACCCACAACTGACTGTACCCGCCATTTTGATGGCGTCATGCAATTGCAACCAATGCTCATCTATACTTTTCGGTGGAATGGTAGCTAGCCTAGAAACTAGCTCGGTTCGATACTTACCTGCAACAGAAGTTGCAACCAACTTGCTGACATCAATCCTTTGATGGCGATCATTTGGTTGGCCACTGAAAAGTAAGTTAAGATTGGCGCAGACCAAGGCATGTTCAGAGTCCAGATAGGTACTCCAATAGGAGCGGCAGTCTTTTAAACAACCACGCCAGCGGTAGTTGATCGCGATGTGATCAATCTGAGTCCAGGCTTGAGATGCAGAAGGACGACGCCAGGTGGCACATCGTCGATGACTGTGCCGAAAGTTAGTGCTAGCCAGAAACAGGTTGTGGTCTGTGCACAGTTGCAGTAGACGGTACCCGTTATCTGTCCTGCGACTAACAAGTCCCCATCGGCCATCTAAACGACTCTCTTCTGTGTCTAGACGCCCGACCTGAGCATTCATGTCTCCGGCTAGTACTACAATATCTGTCGAACGCTCTTTCTGGAGAAGAACAGGTAACTGGTGGTAAAACTCATCCTTGATTGCATCCGGGCTGCAATCTGTCGGGGCATAGGCGGAGATGACGAAAAGACATGGTTTCCCACGCCGATTTCTTCTCACTTTGATGGAACTCTATAATCTTACAGCACATAATCGACTGTTAATGGGGATCCGATACTGATGTGAAGGAGATAGCAATAAACATTGTTCTCAAAGAATTTTGCTTTTAGTGGACTAACATAGGCCTTAGGTCACAGATTATTGATCACGTTGCAGAGATATACTTAACCGGAGATCGGAGGACTTCTGAATAGCCTAAGAAATCTACCAGTCGAAAATGGAGTTTCCACTAAACCTAATATGTACCTTCATAATTTTTCTGGTACGGAATTAAACAAAGGGAAACTTGGAGTTTTAGCCCTAGGCTTATAGTTTTATGGTACACACAACGGTAATTCAGTTTTAAGACTTTTCAGACATCAGATCTAGTTCCGACCTCCGATTAAGAAATTGAACGTTCTGAATCAAATCTCGATTGTTGCTATAAGTTTAAAAACAGTGAGTATAACTAAGAAACCATTTTAGTAAAAAAACACACATGAGGGCTATCGATGAACTCATTAAGGAGGAAAATCTTATTATTAAAAGGCCGGGTGAAGGAACAGGAACTGTCTTAGCTAAAAACTGTATTGACAAGTCTAACATCTTGACTGATCACTTAAAATCCTAAAAACTGAATGACCACAAATACATCAGTAATAAGATAGAAAATAAACATACCAGATCTGTGAAAAAGTTCAAATGACAGCATAACTTCACTACGTGCATACGAACCAGTTAAGCCGATAAGCACTCATTCACAAAAGTTATATGGATTACCGAAGGTACGTATACCAGATATCCCATTGTAACCAATTCTGGACATGTACGATTCCCCTCATCATACTTTAGTAAAGCTATTAGTAACCATTTTAAAGCCACTCCATAAATATCTAATGAAGGATGTATTCCAGTTCGTCGACAAGATCAGAAACAAACTAAAGAACAAAAGATAATGTCCTTTGACGTAGCATGATTGTATACAAATGTCTCACTCATGAAAACAGTCGAATATATCTGTGAACAACTTAGAGAACTAGAACTAGAAACTAAAATCCATTTGGGCATTGTTAATGAAATATTACTAAACTGTAATATGAACGTAAACTTCAAATTCAATGGTGAAATCTATGGCCGAATAGATATTGTCACACTAGGTTCACTACTAGGTCCCGTACTGGCTGACATTTTTCTCACTATACTAGAAAACAGTACACTGGCACGGCTTATTGGCAAGTGCTCATTTTCCTGCCGACATATGGATGATAAGTTGTAGAGACCATACTAACCGGTTATAGGGGGGAAGTAGCGTTCAAACAGGCTTCTACCCTAGAAATTTTAAGTGTGACGAGCAATAACACATCAAGAATATTCGTTATTTGTGTAAAGGTTATTCAGTGTGTGTTAGCGGGGCGTAGAGTGGATTAAATCATGCTCAATGCACGCTTGCGTTGGCGCACGCTGATTATCTAATTCCTATCCAATCAGCGCTAGTCGATACTTGGAGAACACTAAGATCCTCTTATGTAAAAACTATAAACATACTAACGTTTCTCCTATTATGCTTCTTACTTCCATCTAAATTTGTTATTTGGAATATAATCTGTTCAACCGTGTTCTGATTTGGGGACTTGTCGAGTGGATTGGTGTCCAAGAATACTAAGCAATAGGAATATTTGGGTCGTAATAAGAGAGAATTATAACAGTATGTTTATCGGTATTACTCTTATTTTACTTATTCTCATAGTTGGGATACATGGTATGTCATATGAAATCTTACGACGTCGTGCTTTGCAGTATGCTCGTGAAGTCAAGTATAGTCTTGTTCAACTTGATAATGTGGGTGTGAAAATAAAAACTATTGAAAACTACTCTTTAATCAAACCGTTAGAAGAAGTGCAAGTCTCACTGGAGCGATTAAAAAGTCAGTTACAAGATATTTCATTACACTTGCACGTTGATATTGATGGAATTGGACGAGTTGACGGTGTGTTGGAATCACGAATGAATTATCTGGAATATTTATCAAATGAACTTCAAAGTGAATTATTCCAATTGCAGGTTGGTTACACGTTAAATAATATTGTGTCTTATTATTTTGAGCTTTATAACAACTTCATAACGGTGACATTAGGCTGTTTTACCTGTGGTGATTATATTAGGACTACGAAATTATACTTACCCTTAATTCATGGAGTGTGATTTGAAAATGTGACGTAATGTCTGAACTAACTAACTACAACTCTGCACATTTTAAAACTAATGCCCTGTTCATATTGAACTCGTTAGCAGCATACGACAATCACTACCTTTTGTTGTTGGAAATTGTGGGTGCTCCTAGCCTTCCATAACCTTCCCCTAAATAAATGTGTGGAAATTGACAGCAGATAACCTTGGAAACCTAAAACCATACTTCTAAATTCCACAATGCAGAATTGTATTTTATTCTGTTTCTTTTGTACAGGTTGTTTAAAGACACTATTTGTTTCTCAGTATTCATATTTAATAGATAACATACCACTCGTGAATTAAGTAGGATTATTTTATTCATCTACAACTTTATTTTCTCAACCGTAGGCTCGTTTTTTTGAATGGGATGTTAATCGATTTGCGACCTTATAAGTACATAAGTTATTTCAGATCTGTGTTAATAGGTACACAAAATTTGCTGTTTTGTTTCGTCTTTAATTGACCAATTTTTCTGAGCCGAATATATTTTTGCGACCTATTACTTTTTGGTGTTACGCAAATTGTAAACCATAGAATAGGATAGTTAGCAGAGATTAACAAAGTAAGGAACCATAAATCATGAGTTAAAAGTCTCTAGTTCAACTAAAAAATATGAAGAATAGATGGAAACAAGTCCAGAAAAGAAATTGAATAAAAATATCTATTCACAGCCTCAATGAACTGATCAATGTATGTTGTAGATCTATCAGTTTACTTTTTTCATTTGTATAGTGCATGTCATCAGTATTCAATTTCCGTATTCTTATTTTTAAGATGCTATTAATCTTTGAATCCTTCTCTTATTCTAATCACCCAGCCTTATTAGGGTGTTCCTTGAAAATTGATCGGTGGTTTATTGACTTTAGCTCCTGAATTTCATTTGTTGGGGACTGATGAATTCTCGGAATACATTGAGAAAGCTTGCTTAGCTTTTGCGAATTTGCGTAGGAAAGGTGACCGTCTTTCAACCGTGGAGGAGGATACACTGCTCATCACTCCGCTCTTACTTTATAGCTTTGAGACTTGGACTAAAAGGCTAGGAGACAAGCAATGTGATCATAAGTGACGTCAAAGCATCGGTTGCGTATCGTAAGCAATGCCTACATTATACGTCAAGTACTGGGCAGTTATATCAAGTTGGTTGATAGTTCTGTGAATTTTTATTTAAAAAGTATAATCTACTCACTGCTTTCCTCGCTGTTCACTGATGGCTGTGATAGGAGCAAGTTGGCAAAGAAAAGCTAGAAGCGGTCAACCCAAAATATAGTATCAGTCTCTATAATCATTTACTGTTTTTTGGGCACTTTTTCATAGATCCAGGTTACCTGGTTGGGGTTCAAGTGATTAATAATTAATGTAAATAAATAGTATATTTGTAATATCCCAATGAACGAAAAAATTAGATTTTCTATTCATTGGGATATTACAAATATACTATTTATTTATAACAATCTGCCCAATGCTCAGTTTATTCGAAATTATCAAATCAAACCTTGGTAATGATACCTATAATAATTAATGGTTTGGCATGTCATATCTCAGAACTGCTAGGGGTGATTCAGATACACCTAATGTTTATTTTACTCTATATTTTGGCTTCATATATTCCTTTATACGTAACTCATTTCGATTCATTCAATTCCAGCCGCGTTTTCAGTATTTAGTCCTTTTCACCATCAATGATACTATCATTGAAGAGGAAGGTTGATTATGAATACAGTGGTCTTGGGTGCTGTTAGAGGTATGAGGGCGGTTATCACTTCCCGGTTGCCCACACCGAGGAAGGGTTCTTCTGGAGGTACCTGGAAAGGAAATAGGGCTAGAGTTTGTATAAGTAACCAGAGAGCGTGACCGCAGTGCCCAAGGGACAACTGCTTGAGGTCGGTCACACACGACTTTCTTAAGAGTAATTTTTGTGTTAGCTCCGTACTTGTTGAGACCTTACCGCCGGAGACGGATATCCGTGGGATAAGGCGAGGTGTGCATTTTTAGGGTCGACCTTTTCTAACTCCACCCCTCCTTGTGGGAAGGCAGCATCGCTGTCATGCTGGTTGTCTGAAGGAAACACCTTACTGCTGTCACACCTCTGTACAGTCAGCAGTACGACTTCGCCTTCGGACCTTGGGTTTGTTGAATTTAGTCTTAACGCTCTTCAACCGACCTATATGACATGGTAGGACCTTGAGGAACGGTTGTTCCAGCCAGTATAGCTCGGTTGCTTCATCACGATAGGCAAGCCCGACCACCACGTCAAGGTAGCAACAAACAACGGTCGGGAGCAACAACGGTCATTAAGAGTAGAAGACACTTGTAAGCTACTAGTATTTGACCACAGATGTCTTAGAAATATTGCTGGCGTCTGCTGGGATCACCGGGTAAGTAATAGTGAGGTTAGACGCAGGGTATTAGGGAATGATGGTAAATCAGTTGATGAGGCTATGAATCTTCATCGACTGAGATGGTTGGGCCACGTGTTACGTATGCCTGAATACCGATTACCACGACGTGCAATGCTGTCCTATATTGGAGATGGTTGGAAGAAAGTTAGGGGCGGCCAAACCAAAACGTGGCATCAGTGCTTGAAGTCATTAACTTCTAGTCTGGGCCATGTTGGTAGATGTAGACTACTTGGTTGGGGTCCGCGTGACTATCGTAACGAATGATTGGAGACTCTTGGTGACATGGCTCAGAATCGATCACAATGGCGTCGGTGTATACACTTTCTGTCTTCCCTTAAACTAAGAGATTAAAATCGCTTCATACCTTTCTTTTTACGAACCAATTTTTTCTTCTTGTACTATATCTCTATATGCAATCTTTCTCTTATATATTACCACCTTTGACCTAACCACTGCTATGAATCCGGTGTTCATCTTGCTGTGCTGATGCGGTATGGCAACCTGGACCGATGCACATATGTGCCGGGTCCTATGTTGTAGCTGACTGATACTATCATTACTTCGTCCTTTTTGCTATTCAGCTTATTACTTTCGTTTGTCAATCAGTCAATCATATGCAACATAAAGCCTCACATGCATATACATCGACCCAATTTGTTCCACCACATTAGCACAGCGAAATGGAATTATCAACGCGAATCGCAGAACAGTGAAAGTATTTGTTGTGATGAGCGGTGTCCAAAATCTGATACTGATACACGGTGTGCTATGTTTATCATTTTATTTATTTATTTAAACATAAAGATTGGTACAAGGAGGCACCAAATATATTTGGATCACACAAATTATTCGATCTGTGAGAGGGCTGGAATACTGCCTGGACGCCCAATCCGAAGCAGGTGGCTTCCTTAGAGGGACACACCCCGAGACATTTAAATAAAGGTCTAATCCACAAGGCAGTGAAGCAACGTCAGGAGATACAGTCCCACGGTAGCTAGTGACCATTTGGCTCATACGCCATTTGTTCCTACAGGATCCTGGAGCCCATGTGCACCATTGGTTTTGAATCAGGGTTTTCCAACTACTCTAGGTTGATCCTCCGTGTCCAGCAACCCGATTAAGAGCACCGGACATTTTCTTTTCGTCCTCTCAATTTCATAAACAACAGTGATGCCGCGAGAAGGCAATGAGTAGTACTTCACTGTCAATGTCTCTATACGCCTGGTCATTTCGTGAGGGAGAGAGGACTCTTCATTCGGGGCGCTAACCCCCCAACTAACCACTTGAGTGAGGGCACAAGAGTGAGCGAGAAAGTGTATCGGGCTACCGAATAAAATGCACAAATACTCACTCATATATATTTACCACTCTAATATTTATGAAATTGATCAATTTCCTAGGCAATGAAGTGCACTTGTCGTTTAGGTCACTTCTGATTGCCATTGATTGACCTTCTCATTAGGCTACTACTGATTGGCTCTCTATACCAGTATTAACAGTATCAGTTGTAGTTGTAGTAGGAAAAAATAAGTATAATAACAGAAAAGGAGTAGAAGAAGATTTCGGGATTCAGAGTCTAAGATGAAACTAAAAGTGAATATATCTTTACTGGATGTATCATATTATCATTGGCACTATAAATAATAATCGCTAGGCCCAGCCAAACCTAAACGTGATATCAGTCCATGAAGTCACTAACTATTGTACTGAGCCATGTAGGTAGGTGCAGGATACCTGGTTGAGGTCCACATGATAACCGCGATCAGTGTTTAGAGATGTTGAATACCATAACATAGAATCAATCGCAAAAGCAAAGTATGGTAGATTTGAATTTATATTTCACTGTTAGAAAATTCTGTACAATAATCTATGATTTATATACTAATATATTTAATTAATTAACGAGAGTTTATTTATATTCTACTTCGTTTATTTTGTAATTGTTTTGTTTACAGAATCCCTCAAGTTGTACAAAAGCTAAATATGTGGTTGCCTCGTTAAATAAACCTTGTGCATTCGGTTGTAATGCCCATCATTTAATGCACTGTTTTCAAATGGCCTATGCAACTGGGCGTACATTAATCTTGAATCCTACTGATGGGGAGGAATACACACACTGGTGGATAAAAAACTTTTTGCCATTATCTCAGAAATGCAGTATAAATGACATTCAGTCAAATATCCATTCTGATTGTAAGCTTTCTTTAAAAAATATTTATAGTTCCAGTGTAATCTTGCCATTCTTCATTTATCTTAAGAATTATGCTAGTGTGATGTGGTGCGATAATATCCATTTTGTTTGATATCAGTACACAAAAGATTTGTTTCTACAAATAACTTATCTGTTTACAAATGACATATTTCTTATGACTTACTTAGGCCTGCTATGCCTCTTGAGTTCTAGGCTTCTGAAAGAGATCTCTAAAGTTCTCTTTCATATGGTCTCTTACTCAGTTGTTCCGAAGTCGTATTGATGATTTTAGTGTCTCCTTCCAGTTACCAGTGCCCCCAAATGCCCTGGTATGGCCGAGAGTGGGGAGAGTCCGTTCTCCCTCTCGAAATGCTCTCACATGGCCATGCGTATATAGCCTCTGTCAGGGAAGTCCTACTCACTGCCTTCTCGTGGCGGGGGTGTTGTTAACGAAAATGAGAGGACGAAAGGCGAATATACGGCGCTTCAACCGGATTCCAAACCAATGGTGTACATGGGCTTCAGTATCCTGTGGGGACAAATGGCGTATGAACCAATCGTTGGTCACCGGCTACCATGGGACTGCATCTCCTCACGATGATCCACTGCCTTTTGGGTTAGACCTTTAGGTTAAAGGCTCGGGGTGTGGCCCCCTAAGAAAACCACCTGCTTTGGTTTGGGCACCCGGGCAGTATCCCAACCCTCGCACAAATCGAATGATTTATGTGGCTCATATATATTTGGTGCCTCCTTGTACCAATGTTTATGTGTTTAAATAAATAATAAATACTGTTACCAGTGCCATATATTCTTTGGTCTGCTTAATCCCCTTTATCTTTTTTTAATCTGACCGTCCATTGGATTTTTGATTCGGTTCAACAACAATGTTGATAACCTTTTCTGGTACTGAAAGTGGTATGGTACTTCGATGGTTTTCACACTTATTAAAACCTTTTTTGTTTGTTATCTTAATAAGGTTTTCCTTTTTCCATTCTTTCTGTACTTTTTCTCCTTCCTAGATCTTTCAGCAGAGAATATAAAATATTCTTGGGGTTAGCTCTACATCTACCGGGTTCTCCATAATGTTATCCAGTGAAACTCAAGTAGTTTTGTGCATTGATTTACGGGGGTAAATGCTTCTACCTAGGACCATGTTGTCGAAGTGCAGAAATTCACTATTGTCTCATTCTCTTTTCTTTCCTTCAGTCCATGTCGCCTCATGATGTCTTGATGCCCGTCGTTGTCTACTCTGTCTTTAATGATTAGGTCTCCCGTCTGGATGGTCAGGTCTTTTCTTGGTAAACTGAAGTCTCATGAAATTGGCTTTTATTATTTTTGCTGCCACCATTGGTATTGTTAAGTGTGAATTAGTACTGGGAGACATTCATTGTGATCTTTTCATTCTTCGTTTTGAAGGACAGTTTGATGATCCTAAAGTCATGAGTCTCTTATTCTATGGGCGCTTTTAGTGTTTCTTTAGAGGTGTTTAGTGCCAAATATTTTTATTTGATTTATTATTTATGACCAGACTGCAGAACTCCGCCTGGAGCCCCTCCGGGGGCTACTGCCGGTCCCAAGCCCGGATAAAGGAGGAGGGTTGGGCATGGGGTTAGCGTCCCCATCCCGTAGAAAACTAACTCGCCAAAAAAACGCTAACCAGAAAAAATTATTCAAACCTTTTAAACTCTGCCCTGGGAGTCAGAAGGTCTTCATTTAGAAGAATTATGACGCCTCATGATGAAAGCCGAATTCCTTCGGAAGTTACGAGGCCGATGCCCCTTCTGACAACCAGAGCGACCATTTATTTAGGTACATGGAATGTTCGTACAATGTGGGACACCGGAAGAGCCTTCCAAACAAGCGCAAAATGCGCTTATAGGATGGGAATCTCATGGACCAAGGATCATCAAAGCCTTGTTCAAAACAAAGAAAGAGGGGATTTCAATGAACATCATCCAATGCTATGCGCCTACCAACGACGACAATGAAGACGCTAAAGATCAATTCTACAATAGGCTGCAGTCAATCGTCGAGAAGTGCCCAACAAAGGACCTGATCATTTTGATGGGAGATTTCAACGCCAAGGTTGGAACGGACAACACTGGATATGAAGACATCATGGGACGACACGGACTGGGAGAAAGAAACGAAAATGGCGAGAGATTTGCAAATCTATGTGCCTTCAATAAGCTAATCATAGGCGGCACCATATTCCCATATAAACGCATACACAAAACCACATGGACTTCACCGGCTCACTCTACACAAAACCAAATCGACCATATTTGCATCAACAAAACGTTCAGGAGGACTATAGAGGACGTGAGAATCAAAAGAGGAGCTGATATGGCATCAGATCATCACTTGCTGGTCGCCAAGATGAAATTCAAACTCAAGAAACACTGGACAACGGGGCGGACAATATCACAAAAGTTCAATACGGCCTTTCTTCAGGATACTAACAAACTCAACAAATTCAAGATAGTCCTCAGCAACAAGTTCCAGGCCTTTCATGATCTACTCAATGGAGAAGGAACTACTGTGGAGAGCAACTGGAAGGGGATCAAAGAGGCAATCACTTCAACATGTCATGAGGTCCTGGGTCATAAGAAGCACCACCACAAGGAATGGATCACTGTTGGTACACTGGATAAGATTCAAGAAAGGAGGAACAAGAAGGCAGCGATCAATACCAGCCGAACAAGAGCAGAAAAAGCCAAGGCACAAGCTGAATACACAGAAGTAAACAAACAAGTGAAGAGGAGCATCAGAACCGACAAACGTAAATATGTGGAAGATCTAGCAATGACGGCGGAAAAGGCTGCAAGAGAAGGAAACATGAGACAATTGTATGACACGACAAAGAAACTCTCTGGAAATCGCCGCAAACCAGAACGACCAGTGAAAAGCAAGGAAGGCGAGGTAATCACCAACATTGAAGAGCAACAAAACAGGTGGGTAGAACACTTCAAAGAACTCTTGAATCGACCAGCTCCACTGAACCCACCCAACATCGAAGCAGCACCCACGGACCTCCCAATCAATGTTGGCCCACCAACAATTGAAGAAATCAGCATGGCCATCAGACAAATCAAGAGTGGCAAAGCAGCAGGACCGGACAACATCCCAGCAGAGGCACTAAAGGCAGACGTAACGGCAGCTGCAAGGATACTCCACATTCTCTTCAATAAGATTTAGGATAAGGAACAAGTACCAACAGACTGGAAAGAAAGACTTCTGATCAAAATACCAAAGAAAGGAGATCTCAGCAAGTGTGATAACTACAGGGGCATCACTCTTCTCTCAATACCGGGAAATGTCTTCAACAGGGTATTGTTAAACAGTATGAAGGACTGCGTAGACGCCCAACTTCGTGACCAACAGACAGGATTCCGTAAGGATAGATCGTGTACAGACCAAATCGCAACTCTACGGATCATTGTGGAACAATCAATTGAATGGAATTCATCACTCTACATCAACTTCATTGACTACGAAAAGGCATTTGATAGCGTGGACAGAACAACACTATGGAAACTTCTTCGACACTACGGTATGCCTCAGAAGATAGTCAATATTCTACAGAACTCATATGATGGATTGCACTGCAAAATCGTGCATGGAGGACAGTTGACTAAGTCGTTCGAAGTGAAGACCGGTGTTAGGCAAGGTTGCTTACTCTCACCCTTTCTCTTTCTCCTGGTGATCGACTGGATCATGAAGACGTCAACGTCTGAAGGGAAGCATGGGATACAATGGGCATCTAAGATGCAGTTGGATGATCTAGACTTCGCAGATGATCTGGCCCTTCTATCCCAAACGCTACAACAGATGCAGGAGAAGACGAACAATGTGGCAGCAGCCTCAGCAGTAGTAGGTCTCAATATACACAAAGGGAAAAGCAGGATTCTCCGATACAACACAGAATGCACCAATCCAATCACACTTGACGGAGAAGATTTTGAAGATGTAAAAACCTTTACGTATTTGGGCAGCATCATTGATAAACAGGGTGGATCTGATGCAGATGTGAAGGCGCAGATCGGCAGTGCAACAGCAGCACATTTACAACTGAAGAACATCTGGAACTCAAAGCGACTGTCAACCAACACTAAGGTCAGGATTTTCAATACAAATGTCAAGACAGTTCTACTGTATGGGGCAGAAACCTGGAGAACTACGAAAGCCATCATCCAGAAAATACAGGTGTTTATTAACAATTGTCTACGCAAAATACTTCAGATCCATTGGCCGGACACTATTAGCAACAACGTACTGTGGGAAAGAACAAACCAGATCCCAGTGGAGGAAGAAATCAGGAAGAAGCGCTGGAAGTGGGTAGGACACACATTGAGGAAAGCACCCAACTGCGTCACAAGACAAGCCCTCACATGGAATCCTGAAGGTCAAAGGAAAAGAGGAAGACCAAAGAACACATTACGCCGAGAAATGGAGATAGACATGAGAAAAATGAACAAGAATTGGATGGAACTAGAAAAGAAGGCCCAGGACAGAGTGGGTTGGAGAAAGCTGGTCAGCGGCCTATTCTCCATTGCGAGTAACAGGCGTAAGTAAGACTGCAGAATCTCTCTTGAAGTTAGTCTTTCTTGTCCAGATTATTTTCGATGAGTTTCATTTATTTCAAGCAATACCAGGCTGCATTTTCTCATTTCTACGGCTATTGGAATGAGCATTTCGGTCTTCTACACCGCTTGTACATTCTATATCTCATATATATATTTTTGCTTTCGATATAGCTGGTAAAAGGAACACTGGCATTGTGACCCTTCGAAGTCGCGGGTTCCATTACGAAGTGTCATAACTCCTATAAATCAAGACCGAGTTCCGGAGCAGTTTAGTCAGTTTAACTTATTTACTCTAGTTAGGTTATTTTTGGCGGGTTTCGTTTTACGAGGTTGTGTTGCTTACCCTACGCCGGACCCTTCTCCACCTGAGATTGGGATCGGTAGTAATCCTAAAAGTGTTGCAAACGCAGTTATCTTCCTGATGGATAACGAATAAAAAGTATTTTGAAATGTTTAGCTAAAAGTGTCCAACTAGTGTTTTTCATATTGACAGTGAAAAAATCCTATGTTTATACAGCGATACCCCAGAGTGCCAGTTCTTAAGGGAACTAAGAAAACACTTTCGGTTCCCCATCTTCCCACTTTGAAAATTATCCACAAATTTCAATAGATTGATTAATTGAAAAAAACCAAACATAAGCGACTAACATATTATGGAAGTCCATGTACCAAAACACACCATTGTCTACTCAATGTTGTACTTTCTGGTTTGTAATTCAAATGACGATAACTACTAAGAAAAAATATTCTTGCTTCAATTAGCATTCAGACAAATTACATTCACAATCATTTGATAGCATTCATTTTCATTTTTTAATATACTACGTCACTTATCTATTCTCTTCTATTCTCACTTTGTGTATTCTTACTTTTCAACTTATACAACAGTTCGCCTGTGGTGGAAATCTGTTCTACCACCGACTACGAATACTGAAACAGTCTTTCTGAAACCATGTATGCAATTCAAACCAGTCTCCTTCAACGTTCGCACACTAAATGAGATCGGGCAACAGATAGGGTTGGCTGCCTTTAGAAAGTTTTAATATCGGCGTCTGATGTCTATCCGAGACCCTTATTCAAGACTCTACTAAAGTACTGCAAGTTCACTTTCCATCTGTCACTTCGAAGAGCTTGCTTCACGTGAGTTTATCTGGGGACCCTGTGGTATCTTCGTCTGGTTTTGCTGGCGTTGGTGTTTCATTAAGCGCTAGAGCTGAGGCAGCACTGAATGATTGGATTCCTAATGACAGTCGGTTATGTCCTGTTAAACTAGAAAGCTCCATCAAAGTGAGTAGAAATCAGTATAAGAAATGATGTGCTTTCGTCATCTCTGCATACACTCCGACATATTGCAAGCCGAATGCGATCAAAGATAAGTCCTACCACCTGTTAAGTGTTGTTCTGTAGAAAATACATCCGACAGATATTGTAGTACCAATGGGAAACTTGAAGGCACAGATCAGGTGTCTAGGCACGGAAGAGAGTTGGGTCGATGAGGACTTGTTGGTCGCAGGTCAGATAACGGTGACCATCTACTGCAACTGTGCGCAGATCACAACCTATTTCCGGCTAGAGCTAACTACTGGCACAGTCATCGCCGATGTGCCAGTTGGCGTCCTCCCTCTGCATCTGAAGCCTGGACTCAGATTGATCACATCGCGATCAGCTATCGTTGGTGTGGTTGTGTACACGACTGCAGTCAGACTGTCTGTTTCAGTGTAGGACCAGGCACACATATGCATCTGTCCAAGTTGCCACACCTCATTAGCAATGCAAGACGAACACCAAATTCATAGAAGTAGTTAATTCAGTGGTGGTAATATATATATGAAAGATTGTGTATCAGGATATCATACAGGAAGAAAGGTATAAAGCTATTTTAATCTCACTGTTTAAGAACAGACAAAGAATGTTTGCATCTACGCGATTGTGATCGATTCTGAGCTATGTCATCCAGAGTCTCCAACCGTTGGTTACGATAGTTACACGGACCCCAACCAAATAGCCTGTATCTACCAACATGTCTCAGACTAGAATTTAGTGACTTCAAGAACTAATGCCACGTTTTGCTTTGGCCGCCCCTGACTTTCTTCCATCCCCAACCTACTTCAATGTTCCATTCAGGCTGTTTGAGCATAGTGGGTAGTTGTAGAGTAGCTGAAGGTCAGCTGAACTGCTCCTTAAAGTGTTTTGCCCATCGTTCTGAACGTCTGGACCGGTGCAGGACTACTGCTCCTTTCGGAGTATCTATCTGTACTCTGACCATGCCCTTGTTTATGGTAATCTTACCTTCGTCCTATACGGATCGATGTCAGTAAATTGGTTTCAGCTTCTGTTGCAACTAAATATCAAAGCTGGCTAGGTTCAAGGCTAGCTACCATTCCGCCGAAAAGTATAGATGAGCATTGGTTGCAATTGCATGACGCCATCAAAATGGCGGGTACAGTCAGTTGTGGGTTCGCGAAACGTCCCGCTTATAAGCACTGGGTTTTTTTAGGCTTCTTACAGCTTGTTGAAGCTAGTCGGTCTACTCCGGGTGACCACGAATTTGTTCACAAATGAATACTGTTACACAATGAAATTGTGCAAAACTTGCGTAAGAACCAAGAAGCCTGGTGGTCGGAGTGTGCCAATGAGTTTGAAGCAGCAGTTGCATCTGGTAACTGCCGGATGTTCTTTCAACTCATCCGATTCACCGGCGTCAAGAGGTTTGGTGTGAGCCAAACAACCTGTAAAGATGAAGGGATGCCAATCACTAACATCCATCGACGTCCTGTACGATGGGCAGAATTTTTCGAAGGGCAGTTCGACTGGCCTGCTGCTTCGGCAACATCGGTCAGACTGTCCTGCCCTCCATGGTCGATGACTACTGATCCACCAAATGAGGTGGAAGTCCGCAAGGAACTCCAACTCTTGAAGCGCTACAAATCACTGGGCCCAGATGACTTACCTCCTGCCCTTTCTAAAGATTGTGGTGACTTTCTGACTAAGGAACTGACGACGTTGTTTAAAAAGGTCTGGGAGCTAGAGAGTGTACCAACGTCATGGAATGAGTCGATAGTTGTCCCTATCTTTAATAAGGGTTCACATCGTTCCTGCAACAACTATCGGGGGGTAAGTCTACTTCCGATTGCGTTCAAGCTGTTGGCTTCCGTCATACTTCGTAGGTTGTTCAAAGCCTGAGAATGATTGACTCGCGAGGAGCAGGCTGGGTTTCGTTCTGGTCGAGGATGTATTGATCATATCTTCACCCTCCACCAAATGTTAGAACACCGCCATACTTATCAAAGGCCAACAATCGTAGTGTTTCGTGACAGTAGGGCCGCCTTTGATTCATTGAAAAGGACTGTTCTCTGGGATTATCTTTTAAAGAAGGGTGTGCCTGAGAAGCATATTAACATTCTCGAAGCCATATATACAACCACCTCTCTCCATTGTTCCATTCGAGCAGTGGGGTTAGGCAGGGTTGCCCAATCTCACCATTACTCTTCCAATTTGCCATCGACGACATTCTGGAAACAGCTCTGATGGATGTAAGTAATAGTGGTGTGGATCTGTTGCCTGGAGAAAGACTTCTCGACCTTGAGTATGCGGATGAAATTGTCTTACTGTGAGATAATGCCCAAGGCATGCAATCCGCACTTAATCAGTTGGCAATCAGTGTCCGTAGGTTTGGTATGTGCTTTGCACCTTCGAAGTGCAAAGTACTTCTACAAGACTGGCAGGATTCTAATCCTGTACTTACTCTGGATGGTGAACAGATAGAAGTAGTCGAGAAGTTCGTGTATCTGGGTAGCTGCATAAGTGCTGGTGGTGGCGTGAGTGATGAGATCGATTCACGTATAATGAAAGCCAGAGCGGCTTATGCCAATCTGGTCCACCTTTGGCGCCTTCTTGATGTCAGTCTGGCTGTAAAAGGTCGGATCTACAACGCGTCAGTGAGAGCAGTTTTGCTCCATGCTTGTGAAAGCTGGCATTCAGTTACCTTGAACATAGTACTAGACAGAGGTTTGACCTCTTGATCCATTTGTTTAAAGTCTAGTACTAAAATCAATAACCCAACACTTTACTTCAATGGTTGTTCAGAAGTCTTTTACACTATGTCTTCTGTTCATAAGAAATAAATAAGTGTCACTTCCAATTACTTATTTGCGATTCCATAAGCCGCTTATCCATCTTACTTTTCTACAACCTTGGGTTCAGTTTCGTGATTCTCTTGAGTGATTTTTATAACAAGTTACTATCATGCTATCTTTTATTTTTGGTGATTTGATTCCTCAATACATCTAGTTCTTATTCTGCTGATGGGAAATTAGGTCATCCTCAGCTAATCGTTAAGTTTGCAGCGTTTGATCACTTATGGGTATGGTTGTTCAAAAATTAGATTGGTTGGAGAGGTTTTTGTTAATTTTTCTTGACTTTTCTCATTCGTAGTTTTTGATGGGAAGGCGTTTAATACCTATCAAGCAATTACGTGTCCGCACATAGAAACAATAAGCTCTTCATTTGATTGGATCCCTCAAGCTGTTCCCAGTCATTTGAACAAATTACTTGCGCGTTTACATGGTGCCCCATTTGTGTGGTTCATTGGTCAGTTGGGTAAATTTTTAATGCGTCCATCGTTTAACTTCCCTGAAGAATTTAAAATATTCGACGATCAACATGAGAATCCAGTTGTTGGTATTCATGTCCGACGTACGGATAAAGTGAGTTTGTGTACTCTTATCATACAGTTTTTCATTTTCTTTTACTTAACTAGTGTGACGAAGTGATTATTTACGGTTAGATTTGTGAGTAAAATTACTAATTATAAAACATAACTCATGTCGATGTACAAGTTTCCCTAGCCATATTAAAGATATTTGACTACCGGAGAATTACTTCAATTTCATAGAACAAATCTAATCAGTGGTATACTAGAAAGGATTTAAACAATGTGGAGAGGTACGGTAAGGTAACTTAAATAGTATAGCAAACTGTGAACTGGGTGAAATAACTTTTGCTGAGTAATATATCTTATTGGTTTACAGCAAACTGAAATAACAGGCGCATCATGGCAAAATGATAGTGGACAAAAATATTAATCTGTTAAGTTTATTGACGATTTCTAACGAATTTTGAAATCGTTTGAGAATTGTTTCTTAGATGAAATGATTCATTTATTTGAACACATAAATATTGGTACAAAGGGGCAACGAATACATATGTGCTACACAAGTCACTTGATTTGTGTATAGGCTGTGATACTACCCGGGTGCCCAGACCGAAACAGGTGGTTTCCTTAGGAGGCCACGCCTCGAGCCTTCGACTTAAAGGTCTCATCCACAAGGCAGTGGAACAACGTCAGGAGATGCAGTCGCATGGTAGCCGGTGGTCAATAATTGGTTCATACGTCATGAAATGAGAAATCAACTGTAAAGTCATTTAGATAACGAAGTGTTTGCTAGTTTTCTCTGCATTTTACGTGTATAAGTGATATTGCAAGGAAATCAGTTGAATGGTTAGTAGAATAATTTTTATCGTCCTCAACGTCGTGAAGAAGTATAAACAGCGAATAAACAGTGAGGTAACAAAATGATTATAATATAGGTTTATGAAATTTCGACAGGATGTGGGTAATTAAAGAAGCTCCGTAAAACTAATAAGCTAATATTGGGCTAAAATAAGAATGGATCTAGGTAATTTAAACGATTAAAGGTCCAGTTGGATTAGTCCCGAAAATCTTCAAGGATCGCAGCTCAGTTTTAACAGTTAGATTGAATAATATCTTAGCTAGAAGTTTGGAACTGGACGTGATTCTATCTGATTGGTTTCAATCGCTAGTCGTCGCAGTTTACAAGAAAGGACAAAAACTATTTTGTGACAATCATCGAAGAATTAGTTTAACTAATATAGTGCCTAAAATATCAGCTTCAACTCTTAACCAAGGTTCGGAAAGAGCAAACCTGAAAAATTTAGTCTCGTTTCATACCTGAACATGGATTTATAGACTGAATACTTACTTTTTGGCAGGTTCTGGAACAAAAAATTACTTTTTGACGTCTGACTATGGTTGTATCCCTTGATATTAAGGCGGTATTCGACGCCGTTGGTCGTGAGTTTTTGTTGGAGTGTCTGTCATTGAAAGCCGTACCAAGGAAGTACATCAAGATTGTTGTGAGTCTCAACCTAAACGCTACTGGTCAAGTCGACTGTTATCAGAACTGATAATTTTAAGTGGTGTTTGTCAGGATTTTCCGCTTTTCTCATTTTTAATTAACTTCATCATAGACATTCTTTTGGAGATGACGCTCTCATCTAACGTTTTAGTTATTGATCTTTTACTAGGATATTTATTTGTTGACTTGGAATACGCAGATGGTATAGTTCTGTTTAGTGAAGACTGAAAAAATGCAGTCTCCTAACCGCCTTAAACAATAGTGAGAAATGTTGCTCCAGGATTTCTCTGCGACCGCTTCACTTATCTTGAGAGTTTCATGAGTTTTATCCCGACCATAGCTGCTACCTTGACGCAATGGTCGGGCTTGCCTATCGTGACGACCCAATTGAGCTATATTGGCTGGAACATATGTTGCTGTAGGTTCTACCATGCCAGGCAGGTCGATTGGAGAACGGTAAGACTAAAAGCAGCAACTGAAGGTCTGAGGGCGAAGTCGTACTGCTGACTGTAGAGAGGTGTGACAGCAGTAAGGTGTTTCCCTCGGACAACCAGCGTCTACAGCGATACCGCCTTCTCACAAGGAAGGAAGGGGTTAAAAAAGGTTGACCCTAAAAATGTCACACCTCACCTTACCTCACGGATTTCCGTCTCCGGCGGTAAGGCTCTTTGGAGAACGGAGCTAACACATTCAAAACCTCTCACGAAAAGGCCGTGCGCGACCGACTTCAAGCAGTTGTCCCGTGGGCTCTGCGGTCACGCTCCCAGGTCTTTTAGGCCAACGTTACTCCAACTTTCATGCAATTAGTTCCCTTTATGAATTTAAATAAAGCAAGAACAAATATTGATGCAGAATAGTACGGATTCATAATATATACATATATTTCTTATCTCAATGTAAAATTCTATTACATATTTGGCTGTAATCAGCTGACGATAAACCTCGAAATATTATGAATTCATACTGTTCTGCATCAATGTTTGTTCTTGCTTTATTAATCAAACTTCCTTTTCAGGTTCCTCAAGAAATACCCTTTGACGATGTTATATCCGAGCGAAGATTAAGTCACGAGTAACTTCTGAGACATATTAATTGACTAATATTATGGTATAACTATTCAATAATTAGATTATGTATATTTATGTTCCCCTTATTATAAGCTTTATTTTGACCTATAATTTGTTATTGTACGATTTACTGTTCTTAAGCTATGTTCAGTTTATTGACTACTGTCTCCCACGTCCACAGCTACTTTTTGGCATTATTGTCTACAAATGTTATTTCTTATTTTATGGTGCGTTGCGGTCTGTTTGTTTGATATATAAATCCAGTATGTCTGAAATAAATGATTCGATTCGATTCATATTGTAAAAGCTGGAGTCAAGTAGGCGGGCTAGGTGGACATAGGACCAATAAGGACGCTAGACCGTTCATACCGGTCAAACGTCATTGGTTTTGGCACAGTGTTAAGATTGTATAAGTCGTATTTTGATTGGTGGATAAACCACGTGATAAAAGTCGAACATAAGTCATAAAACACACGGTGTGGGCAGCCGGGAAGTGACATCAGCGCTCATACCCGTAACAACACACGAGGCCAAGCTGGTCACATTCAAATCCTTCCTACACCTCCTAATACTGACCGACTCATGAGTTTTATTGGGTTGGTGTCTAACAATATCTACGCACGGATTCCAAATGCTCGACTGGTTCTTGACAACTTGTGTCACTTACATTGTAGGCGAGCTATCCTTTTGGCAACTAACGGACGAGTTTACTGCTCAGTATTTCGATCCGTTTATCTGTGGGTGTGAAGTATGGCCATTAAAAATAGAGGATATTCTTAGGTTACTAGCATTCGATAGTAAATGTCTTTGAATTATTGCTCGTATGTTTTGAGACCACCGAATAAGGTGTTGGGGATAAGAAACTTGATAATGATGGGGAGTCAAGTGATGAAACAATAGATATCCACCGGTAAAGGTGGTTGTGACGTGTGTTACATATGGCCGCCCACTGTCAACCTCGACAGTGTCTGGTGTAGGAGTAGGTTGGAGGAAATCTAGTTGTGAACAGGTCACGACGTGACACTAGTCTGTGAAGTCATTGACAATTGGCCTAATCATGTAGGTAGATCTTGACTGCCTGTTTGGGTTCTACGTGATTATCGCAACCAACGGTTAAGGACTTTGAATGACATGACTCAAAATCTTTCGCAATTTCTGAAAGGCATCCATTCTTCATCTTCCCTTGGATTTTAAATTTCTAAATTCCACATAATTTTTTGTATTTCATCTCCATACAAATATCTTGTTTTTTCTTACCTAATTTTTCTTAATATTGCTGGTACTGTCATTACTTCTAATACTCTGAGATTGATCTTGAAATAATTTTATCTCACTGTGCTAACGTGCTATGTCAACTTAAAGCGATTGACACATGTACCAGGTGCAACATTGTGTTTAGTTGTCTCACCTTCAGATTTTTCTTATTTTACTGAGTAATTCATGTAAGCAGCAATAAACCTTTCGGTCCTAGTATTAGGTGGTTAACATTTGACCTACTCGTTGGTAGATACCTTCTATAGTTCGTGAACAAGTTACTTTTTGTGAACCTTAATGAATATGAAAAAGAACTGTTTCGTCTAATCCTTTCGTGATTTATGTGAATAAATTATTAAGTTAACCCTTTTCTTAACCATTTCGTTTTTTTGTACGATTTTAGATAAATACTGAAGCGAGTTTTCACAGTTTAGAAGAATATATGACTGAAGTTGAGAGCCATTTCCAATTCATAGATGCCAAACGTCAAATGATGTCTAGAACTGAAGTAAGTATTTAACTATTAATTTTCATGTATATTGTAATTGTTTTATTGTAACCAAGATTCATCGAGAAACGACTTCACCTTGTCCACTGGCCATCATGTGAATACATCTGCGAGTAAAGGCTTCTTAGTAGTTTTTCTTAGCTTGTAGCGTGGTGTCGAGTCGAGATTAACTATGAACACCGCTACCAAGAAACACGTGCCATGTAAATCAGAAGGCGAAGGTTGAACGTAACCAGATTTATTGGGTTGGCGATTTCGTGGTATTGGACGAATACCAAGATCGTGCCAAGGAATGGTACAAGTGGAAGCAGGAGAAAGGAGTACGTGGGATCAGTACCAAAAACCGCGGAACGATGATGGAAGGTAATGGAAGCACAAAATGGCTATAATTAGCACAGTTAAACAAAAGCACATTAAAACAAACACTGGTACAGTTGGTTATAATAATAATTGTTTTTATTAAACCCGTCGTGTTCTCGTGATGAATGTGAGTCACTAAAAGCTATTCACTTTTTAAAATTCGGACATCACAACAGTGTTTCAGCTCATAAACTAATCATGATAATTGCAAATAAAGTATATGACATATTCATTTTATAAGCTAACACACTCAAAGTCTAATAATCCTATTATAGGTCAATAATTACTATCTGAAATTACCTCAAGTCTCTGAGTTGTTTTAGTTAAATAATGTTTATATTTCTAGTTGTGAAGATTCAATCCACTCAGTTCGTCTCTGTCGTGAATTTTTTCTTTCCGAAACTGTACTGCTCAACAGTAATTACTACTATATATTGGAGTAAAGCCTAATAAGAATCTAGTTAAAATCAGTGTTGTTCAGTTATATTTATTGCTCGCCAAATATGTAGACAGAAATTTCAACATTTTAACTAGCAGTGGATTAATAAATACGAGGACACAAAACTATTTTATCAAGTTAATGATTATTGATGTACTCTGTATCAGAGCTGGTAAACTTTTTCTTAAGTTATAGAAATTCTTTGACATGTGGATATACCTGACATGGTTTGTAATCAGTCACGTTTTCTGTGCATTGTGAAACGAGCAATGTATCCAGTGTTGGTTGACTTCTGATATTTTTATCTTGCATTTTTTATACAAAATCTTGTTGTTACATAGTCTAGTAATTTTTATTTTGGTATAAAATAAGTTTCATAAATTCTTTCGATTAGGAGTGGAGAAATGACATCAAATCGCCGTTTCGTCATAATGTATATCACCAATTAAAACCAGTACAACGACGTGTGTATATAGCTACAGACGACCCTAGTGTATTTAATGAAACTAAATTAAAGTATCCCAACTATATATTTTATGGTAATCGCGGACGTGCTAATTCAGCTTCTGTCTTCAGACGAAAAAATGAAGATTCTATTATGGGTGTGGTAACTGACGTGTTCGCTTTATCAAGAACGAATTATTTAGTTTGCACTTTTTCTTCACAGGTAAGTTAAATTTCTTGTTTTGATGACGATCATGGCAACTTGTAATCCCTTGTCTATGATGTGAAATTCGAACCAGCTTTGTCTGAATGCCGATCATTTCTTGATCTTACGTTGATTATAACTGACTTAACTTCATAACCTTCGAGTTAGACTTTAATTTTGTGATATTGCGAGCTGATAATTGTCTGAGTAACATAGATTTATGTATAAAGTGGATAAAAATTGGTTTGTTAAGCGATGTTTCATTCTAAGTAAATTCGAGATAAAATGTTGACTATCCTAGTGATTTGAAATCGAAATACTACAGAACGTCTTTGAGTATGTATTCGAAATGTTAACTTGATAAATAAGTGGGATTCGCTTGGATTCGGAAATTACTACTTCCTAGTTTCATTCAGTGCTACAACTTCTAATACATTTTGACATGTATGCATTTAGTTTCTAATGTGTCGGTCAAAATAAACAGATTTTACTGCCTAGTTATTTTGGACCTATCAGACCGGACTACAGGGCAGTAGAACAGTTGTACTGATCTAGTCCGAGCATCAACTAGTTCGCCTAAACTATAAATCTAGTACTAATGACCGTCAGCTAACCATTGATACGCTAAATGTGAGATAACATCCAAGAGTAACTAGTTAATTATTGGCCCAGAACTCAGTTTCCCATGCTTGCTTGCCTGATAACCAAAATAGAGAACAACCCAACAACCAGATAGTATCTGATTATACGTTTCGAATCTATGAATACCTCTTATAATAATATAGAGCGAAATCGTGACCACACGTTAATAGAGTTAATGAATTACAATATGGGCACAACTGTGCCATAAATGGAAGAGAACTGAGTGGTAGGTCCTTCATAAATTAATTTTGATATAGGAAAGACGAAACAAGATCTTACAAGTGGGGAATACAAAAATGTGACGGTTAAACTATTTAAGAATTATACAACAAAAAATGTCAACAATAACTTCATGTAGGATCGTTCCGAAAGTTCTCTTTCGTTTTATATTTATCCCGATACAGCAGTTTCATTGTAACTCACGATCTGTTGATTACTCCCACTGAACTAATTATTCATTGTTGATTTATAAGTTGTTTTTATAAATATCTTCACATTTTCTATGGAAGTTTATAAGCTAGAGGATCAACATGTAGTGGTTTCATACTGACAAAAAGTACCAAAGGTAAATTCCAAAGCTTGTTTACCTCGTATTATAAATAGTCGATTAGCCCCAAACACGATAAATGCAAAGTACTGAATTTCATTAATAGGCATTTATCTGTATATTATCAACAGTCATTTTTGTAGCTATCCTTCCATTAATATTCTTGCTTTGTTCGTTTGTACTATTTAAACTTGGGTTTATTTAATTTGGTTATTTATTCTCTAAAGAATTGTCTTACACTGAGTCACGAAACTTCAGAAATTTAAGAACCCTATTTTTTTCTTACTCATAAGGGTATTACAAATATATTATTTTTATTAATAGCGATCTACTCAATCCTCAATTCACTTCACATGATCAAGTCAAACCATGGTATCGGCACCTATCCTCATTTCGTTCATTTATTTTAATAGTTTGGCTTTAATCTCCTTTCGATTTTACCCTATTCTTTCTTGTAACAGGTTTGTCGATTAGCTTACGAATTGATGCAGTCTAATCATTTAGAATTAGGTGATGCAAGTCAACAATTTCGTTCATTGGATGATATATATTACTTCGGTGGACAACAAGCCTCACCATATGAAGTATTAATATCAAGCAAAGAACATGGTTTATCTCCTGGTGATTTAGTCCACTTCCATGGTAATCATTGGAATGGTTACGCAAAGGTTGAAAAATTGAATACTAATCGTAAAGTAATGGCACCAGCATTTAAATTCTCTCCAAGATTAATAACTGCTCCTATGATCGGTGCACATGGAAATCGGTCTGAATTTATTATTGATTATAAATAATTGTATTTTTCTAAATAGGAAGATTATTTCGTTCATGTTTTTCTTCTTTCCTTTGTACCACTAACTTACTGATTTATGGTTTTATATTTGAAAGACATCGAACCTCATTGTTTTATTGTAGCGTCGATGCTCTCAGCTAAAGACTTTACAGATCAAGTTGAAATTGATCTACATATGGCTTTTCTGACTTCATTGTATACACGCAAATGTTTATACACATATCCTGTGGTCTTGATGTGATATATATTGACTGCACAATTGTATGATTGGTGTTTGTTTGTTGTTGTTTTTTTGTGTATCGTTTATTCCATGTGTTGTAGTGTAGTGTGGTGTGTAATTTGTAAAATATGACATATCAAATGAATGAGTTATTGTTTGTTGCTTTAGATAGTGATGTGGGGTACCGACAACAGATAGCCTTTTATCTTTAGAAAGATGCTTGAATGCAAATATCACCAAGTTCCACTGGTGGGATCCAAACAGTAATTATTTGACATTAAAAACGAAAAACATGTATTTGTAAAATGTCAGCGAATGAATTTGAAGTAATAGATCAAACGTTTCTCCTGGCAATCTGGTCCAATTGTTTCAAGGAAATATAATCAAGCATCAAATCTATCAAATAGAAATAGAAATAAGTACATAGTTCTCTGGTTAACTGTATGCTAAATAAGTCATCCAATCAACCTTAACAATGTTTATTTTAATGTGCAAGAGACATGTAGTGTGAAATGAAAAGTGTGTTAACCTAACAGATTTTGTGTATTCGTACGTGGTATGAGAAGAGATCTCATTCACTATATATTATTGCCTGTGATCGGTGAATTTTTAAGAAACACATAAATATGATATAAATCAAAAATATGTCACAACATGCATAAAATGAAAATAAATAAACAAAATAAAAAATGAAGGACAAACAGATGACCATCAGGACTCAATAACTAAGTGGATAACGTGATGGCTTTTGAAGCGAACGGTACTGGGTTCGAGTTCTATAGTGAACATCAACTCTAGCTGACGAGTCCCTAATAAGATGGAAGATGCGTCCTAGATTCCACTATCCATCTTTGCTTAGAGTTAAGACAATCCGCACATGCCAGTAAGAGACTGATGAATCGCTGTTCGAAACAACAATGGGAAGATACAATCAAACAACATCAAGTGAATTTGAAGGAATAAATGTTTGTGTCATTTTTATTTTTCTAGTTAATTGTTTAGTATAAGACAACTGACTAGAACAGTTTGTATTTGTTGTTATTCAGAAAATGAATGGTGTATTAAATGAAATAGGGCGTTCAAGTTTACTTATCAGTTATTATTTTCCATGGAATAGCCAATTGTATTCCATCTCTTCTATTAGTACTATTTGGATTTGCTCATATATGTAGGGCTTCGACTATTAGTCTTTCTTTGTAAGAATTAAAACCTTTTCGAAGGATTGTGTCATTGAAATCAACTGTATGACTCTATTCTATTGAGTGTAATGCTATCGCTAATTTGTTTACAAGTGTTCTTTTTTAAAATCATCTAATGATTTGGGAATGCGCTTTTAGCATAGCTTGTGTTCCTTCTACCTGGACAGGTTAATTCTAAATATAAGTCTTTTCTTTCATAGATATTCTTGGATGTAATTTAGGTCCATCGTATACAAACATGAACCATATCATACAATAAACAAAGCTGATTGCACCTTTTATGTTATAAGAAAGTTTAAGAATAGGCAAACATGAATGTTTAAAAGCACCAGTTTGTTGCTAGATCAACTGATCAAATAAATTTATATTTGATGTCGGATATTCGAAGGAGTCAGTCAGCTACAACGTAGGACCAGGCACATATATGCATTGGTCCAAGTTGCCATACCTCATTAACACAACAAGATGGACACCGGACTCATAGAAGTATTTAATTCAGAGGTGGTAATATATAAAAGAAAGATTGCAATAAGGATATAGTACGGGAAGAAAGATATGAAGCGATTTTAATCTCTTAGTTTAAGGGAAGACAGAAAGTGTATACACCGACGCCATTGTGATCTATTCTGAGCCATATCACATAGTCTCCAATCATTGATTATGATAGTCACGCGGACCCCAACCATGTAGTCTGCATCTCCCGACATGGCCCAGACTAGAAGTTAATGACTTCAAGCACTGATGCCACGTTTTGGTTTGGCCGCCCCTAACTTTCTTCCAACCATTTCCAATATAGGATAGCATTGCACGTCGTGGTAATCGGTATTCAGGCATACGTAACACGTGGCTCAACCATCTCAGTCGATGAAGATTTATAACCTCGTCAACTGATTAACCATCATTCCCTAATACCCTGCGTCTAACCTCACTATAACTTACCTGGTGATCCCAGAAGATGCGAGCAATATTTCAAGGACATCTGTGGTCAAATACTAGTAGCTTACGAGTATCTTCTACTCTTAAGGGACATGTTTCGCTGCCGTAAATTAAAACAGAGCGAACTTCCGCGCAGTATACTCGTCCTTTTATTGATAGACGGATATCTCGCCTTCGCCATAGGTGACGTAAGTTGGCAAAAGCCAAATGGGCTTTTCGAATCCGTGCTGAGATTTCGTCAGACACCAACTCATTAGGGTTGATCAAACTTACAAGATAAGTGAAGTTGTTAACACGTTCGACTACTTCACTCCCTATCCTTAGTTCAGGTGTTGACGCAGACCAGTCCTGAAGCAGCGGCTTGCATTTAGAGGGAGAGAAGTGCATTCCAAACATTTTGGCATTGTTGCTCAGTGCTAATAAAACACTCAGTATTTAATCAGCGACTTTATCTGCGTATTCTAAGTCGGTAAGTAGACCTCCTGGTAGGAGGTCAATGTCTGAAAATTCTGTCGACGAGCGTTATTTCCAGCAGTAGTTCTATGATGAAGTTCAACAAAAATGGAGAAAGTGGACAGCCTTAACGGACACCACTTGAGGTTCGACATAAGCTCTGACTCGACTAGTAGTGTTCGAGTAAAGAGCCTTCACAAGGTTTATGTACTTCTGAGGTACGCCTTTCAATGACAGACAGTGTCACAGAATCTCGCGGTCTACGGAGTCAAATGCTGCCTTTAAGTCAAGAAAAACCACCATTGTCGGATGCCGATAAGTATGCCTGTGTTCTAGAACCTGACGAATGGTGAATATGTGGTCGATGCACCCACGACCCAGACTCCGTGTGTCTTAATTCTCGTCAACTAAGTGTATGTCTACAACTTTCAGTGTGGCTACAAGTTTAAGTGACTTGGAATCGCTTGCAACGTAATCCGTAGAAGTCGATCGGCATTAAAAACTGGACGAGCACAACATTGGTTACTACTCAGTAGTTATCAATTTAGATATCTCGGTTCTCTATGATTTCAGTCACGTAGTATCCTACCGAGTGTTTGTGGAAAATTTATATGTGGTGAGATAAGCGGACAATCCTATGGATTATTATTTGAGGTAGACAGTTCTGGTGACAGGTCGCCGTAATCTTAAGCTTGACTAGTGTCTTAGTAGATAGCCTTCATTAGGTTTACATTCTATTTCAATATAAAATAGCTGCAATTCTTATTACTAACAAAATGTATCAGTTATCTATGGCTCCAGGGATCGTAGGTCATTTCAATACATACTCATTGGCTAAAATGCTACTATGCATGTTCCTACCTGTACGAGTATTGATTGAAGTAGAAGTACAAAATGTAGATTGGTAATTCACAACAGAAGAGAAACGTGATACTCTCAGGTTCCTTAAAACCACTTACTGCCGATATAAATTATTATATGTATTTAAGTAGTAATGACTCCAGTGCAGAACAGATATATATTTGAATACGTACATTTCGTACAATCGTTGATCGGTACAGACAGTCAGAGAAACGCAGAGAAGGAAAAGGAGAGGTGTGTGAGTCAGTTCGATCTAACCAATTGTGAATCGATATTTATAGTCAAAATAAAAATAAGCTAAAGACATACTGAGTAAGATTAGAAATGCGCACACATACGTTCATATAAAAGTAAGGTTGATACGCGAATAATTAACAAGGTCAAAATGTGACTCAATTTGCCTGTTCGGAAGTTAGAATAAGCTGTGTGGGCTTGATACAGCAACCGAACTGGAATATGAAGACCTCGACATCTGAGGGAAAGCATGGAATACAATGGACAGATCGGAATCAATTAGAAGATTTGGACTTGTAGATGAACCGGTCTTTCTATCCCATACACATCAAAAAATGCAGGTCAAGACAGACTGTGTAGCAGCAGCCTCTGCATCAATAGGCCTCAACATACACAAAGGAAATCGCGACATCCTCAAACACAGCACGAAGAATACCAACCCAATCACAGTTGTTGGAGAAGCTGTGGAAGGTTTCACGTATCTGGGTAGCATCATCGATGAACGTGGAGGATCAAGCAATATCGAGGTTACAATCTTTAATACGAACGTCAAAACAGTTAGTTATATTGTAGGGAACTGAAACTTGGAGAGCTGCCAAACACTTCTCCAAAATGTACAAGTATTTATAAACGGTTGTCTACGCAAGATACTCAATGTCCATTGACTGGGTACAATCAGCAACAGACTACTGTGGGAGAGGACAAATCAGCTTCCAGCTGAAGAGGAAATCAGGAAAAGCAGTTGGAAGTAGATAGGACATACATTGAGGAAATCACCAAACTACATTACGGGGCAAGCTGGAATCCTGAAGAGAAATGGAAAAGAGGAAGGCGAAAGAACACACTGCGTCGAGAATCGGAGGTATACATGAAAAGGATAAATAGCAACTGGAAACGATTGTTTAGAACAGGGTTAAATAGAGAGTGCTGATGAGCGGTCTATGCTTCTCCATGAGGGGTAACAGGCGTAAGTAAGCAAGTAGATAATACATACAATTGAAAATGGAGCAGTCTTTGACATGGTATTCTTATTCTTATGGTTTGACTCTTATTTCTCACATAAATAATGTGGAAACTTAGCATTTGATCGAATTACTT